TCACTTCGTTCCTTTACGGGAACGTGACGTTTCTTTCGCTTTAGTTCCATAGCGCCGTCACGTATCCAGTCCTAATGACGAATTACGCTCCCTGCTCTCTTAAGCCAGTTTCTGCTGAAAGCTAGTCTGATGAGCTGAGTTTCAACCGAACTGCTTGTGCTCCCTTTCTTACCGCACAGATCGTTCTTCCATTGGTGTCGTCATGTTCATCGGCATCTAGCATTTCTCACTGCTCTCAAGGGGAATTATAGATAAGCGGAAAGAGGCTGATTCCATTTGCAAGGTTTTGTGCATAAGAACGTGTTCTGATTCATCTTCATCTTTAGCCCTTGGTAGTGTTTATCAAAATTTTTCCATAGCATGTATCATAGCCAAATAAATGACCTGTCTGTCTATACCTTCATAAACCGGAATATGTCGTTTTCCCTGTTGGGAACAGTTAACAAGACGACGTTACAACGGCTGTCTTTTGAAATCAAATGGATCCGTAAAGGTTGCTTGGATTACGGATTATCGTCGAAAAGCGTATCTTGAATGAGGCTCAGTAAAGCAACATTGGTCTTAATGATGATTGAAGGTCCCTGGTACAGAGTATGATCAGCAATCTGAGTGGTTTTACTCGTCGCTCAATCGGATTACAATCTATGCGTTCCATCCGGTCGGATTTTCATGACTGAACACTCGTTTAGTCGAGTTATTTGGGTCGTATGATTGTAGAATTATACCGTCAGTTCTGTTCTGTATAGTGAGAAATCTACAGTACAGCAGAGACTGGGTTGACTATATTCATTCTCGATCGCCACATTTTCTCGATTTTTTTACTGTCTAGAATAAACAGATATTAGGTCATTTACATGTTGGGTAGCGTTTGATGATATTCGCCTATCTGGTCTTAACACTTTTCCAATTAATCGACCAGTTTTCTTTTCATTGTTGCTTTCTTTTATTGGATTCATAATGATACAATTTTCAGGAAAGGGGAAGCTGGCATATAATAGACCGGGGAAAGGTAGGCGTTGGTAGTAAGATTCGAACATATATCCTCCGAGGCTGACGTTACCAACGGGCCGCCACGTTTTTACTCGACACAATCAACCAGTGTGCTATGCCAGACGTTAAATAATAAATGCAGTGCGAGTCACGCATAACGTCTGACATCAGATAGTCCCAACAACTCGTTTGACAAATTTAGATAAGAATTTCTCATCACAAGGTTGCTATCTTCGAGTTTCAATCAGCAATTGCATGCCACCACTAAGTGCACGTCTATCCGCTCATATTTGTGACGATCGATCAGTAGAGTTTTGCAATGTGCAGTCCAGTTCACATCGAATAGCTTTTGTTTATCGTTACTGATCAAGCCATTTGATCCCCTGAT